ACAAACTTTTTGCAATTTATATTAGCTTTCTCTTTGTGTTATCATCTTTATTTTTTCCATTTTGCAGGTCAAAATCTCCTTTCTTTCAAAAAATATTCTCTGACGCTGACTTTTCATTACCTGTCTCTTTCCTACTTACTGGTTTTACTCTACCTTTTTCTCATCCTTTAAGCTTACTTTAAAAAAAAAAACTTTACAAAATTTATGAATCTGGACAATTTTCTCTTTTTCTTAATACAAAAAATATATTCTTTTAAAATAGAAACATAACTCCCCTTATTTATAGAATTTAACTTTTAATAAACATACATTGAATGAAAAACCAAGGAAAAAGTAACCCTACATCCTTTATTTTTTACAAGTTATGAAAACACATTTAAGAGACCCATATATACTTAGAAGTTCTATTTTAAAAACTTTTAAGCATTTATGTCATCCATATTTAACTTACCTGTAAAAAACAAGATATCAGCACAACATAATTAACATTATTTCTTTGCCAAAAGAAAGCCTAAGAGTTCCTGCATTTGATATTGAACTCACGATTGCCTGCTTCCAAGGCAGGCGCTTATGCCACTGAGCTAAACCTCCAGCCCCCTTTCATCCTTTTTGATAGGGACATCTGAGATAATCAAGAAGCAACCTTGAACCATTTTTCAGTAAAAACAAAAGAGAAAGAAATCAGATTTTGTCCATTTCAGCTTTGAATACCTTTTAAAGAGGCAAAAGAAACATTACAAAATTACCATATAACTTGATTAGGTTTTAAATTGTCTTTGTCCATAGTACTGTTTATTTGTGATTATACTATCTTTTGGTAAATTAGTCACTAACAACATTTATTAAAATAAAACTGAGCCAAAAAAAGGAAGAAAGAAAAAAGAAAAACAGAAAAAAAAATCTCTGCACAGAACCAAAAGGGAAGAGAGATGAGCTAAACATGTAAAAATGGATAAAAATGTAAAAAATGGAGCAGCTGTGATAGTTCTTTAGGAACTTTAGAGCAGTTTGCCATGCTGGATTTTGAACCAAGTTATGCCTGACACTGTTCTTAGAAGACAACTTGTTAGAGACTTATCTGTTGGCTGCCGCCAGAGTTCACATTAGGGAAATGCTTTGGTCAGACAGTGCTGCTTGTGGAGAATACTTCCCAGAGTGACACCAGGCAGCTGAATATTCCATTTTATGTGCCCTAGAAATCCTCAGATGCCAACAGATTTGGATTAGCTCAAGATGGACCTTTCAGATGCGGTACTAGAGTTCCATCTAGCCCAAGAATGAGCATCATTCTTCTTGAATGGTTCCCTATGACACTGCATATCCTGGCGTCATTCACCCTTGATACCTCTGTTAAGACTCTTATCACTTAGGGCCACACAAATGGGATGGAGGGAGTGTTTGGCTCTTTTCTTCCGAGTCTAGAGACATATAGATAAGGTCATGGGATTGTTGCTGTACCTATCAGATCAAGTCAGTCTATGCTATTAAGCATAGACTAAGAAATGGAACACATAAGGAAATAATAATCATGGCAAACATAGGTTAACAGGCAGACAGACAAGAAAACATACAGAACATATAAAATAATTACATAAAATCAGGGTACATTTTTAGATGCATTGGTCACATTACTATAATAATAAATATCTTTTCTAATCATAGGTTATAGCTATAATTTAGAAAAGTAACCAATAATTTTCCCTGTGAGGTTACTGATGATATAGATATAAACTTCAGTAAAGATCTTTCTTACACCCTGGTTTCTTAATTTTTTTCCACATGGGCAAGCCACACCATTGTGTTACCTGGAGGACCAGAGTGATGCAATCAGTCAGCCTGGATACTCGGGATGAGCAAGCCAGTTTCACGCTGGCCCAGTCTGTGTTCCCTTTGATGTCTACCAGCCAGCAGCAAAATGCTGGTGGTCTTAACGTGTCTCCCCTGTGAGTGTCTAGGTGCCACTATGGAAGGCCAAAAAGCTGTAATAACAAGGCAAATTCCCCTCTCAAAACCAGATGGCCTAAGTCCAAAGTCCCCAAAGTACTCAGAGATAACCCATTTGACAAGACAAATTTCTTTGTCAAATGCAAACATACAAAGCTCAGTATGTCATAAGAGCTTAAGTGACAAAAAGACAGGAAAGTCCAAGATCAGAAAGGGAGCTACGGAATCTAAAGCTAAGGGCCTGTTAGACTTTAGGGTTTATTTGTCTGTTCTGTTAAACAGCAGAAAACAGCTAATGTTGACCAAAGTGGAAAGAAAATGTCCTCGAATAAAAGTAATTTCAGCAGCTGCATGGGACCATCCAGTCTTTCTTCATCTGTGATCTACGCTAGCTAGAAAGGTTAATGCCTAAACGTGTGCTTTTTCCTAGTGCAACTTATGAGATTTGTTACTGAAATTTTAGGCAAAAGCATCAGGTTTTGCAACCCCAAAAGACCAGGCTTAGCCACCTATCCCATAAGCTCATTCAGGAGATTAGCAGTGGTAAAGGACAGGAAAGAAATTTAAACAGCATGAAACACAGAGAGGTTCCAGATTTGTCTTCAAGGGGCTGACAAAGTCCTAGAGTTGGCAAAGACAAAGGATGGAGTTTGGAATGGAACTGAAAAAGATGTCATGAGTAAAAGTTCCCAAGAGCCCCAAGATATATGAACTAAACCCGCCTCCTAAAATCAATCCAGCGGCACAGATTAGGAACTACTAGATTTTTGTTTTGTTTTGTTTTTTGAGACACAGTCTTGCTGCCTCACAATCCTCCTGCCTCAGCCTCCCAAGTACTGAGTTTAAGGGGCTAGATACCTAAGGAACTAGATTTCTAACCTGAGTGACAGAGTGGGGGTCTTTGCTGAGTCTGAGTAAAAAAAGAAAAGGAGTTGGAGGTTTTCACAGAACCATAGGATCTGGTTTTCCCAGATAGAGGCAGACAGCACAACCCAAGGGAAGAAAGTTATGAAACACCAGAAGGGAGGGAATTGGTTCCCTGTCCAAGAAACCTGAATATGGAGGTAGAACGGAGCGGAGGGCAGCTAGAGACAAAAAGCAAAGATATCTGAATGACTTGCCCAATGAAAGATCTGTCTCCAATCCAGGGGATTTTAGGAAAAAAACCAATGCCTCTCCAAATCAAAGATCAACGACCAAAACAACCAGCAACTAAGAAGGACAGCCAATAGGTCTTGCAACTTTCGATTAGTGAAAGTCCCAGCCAGATCATTCCCTGGTGCCCCAGGGACTTAAAGAAAAGGTATTTAGGAAATGAGCCAGTGCCCTTCCAAATCCACAACCTGACAAAACAACAACTAACCAGGACATCTAACTGCAGCCTGCAATTCCCAATCAGTAAAAGCCTCGAGAGTCCCTGGTGTTCCAAGGGAATTTAATATGGAAGGTTCAGGGGAAAGGAAAAAGGATTAGAAGCCTAACTATGCAGCTGATTTTCCTGCTGGAGACACCTATCCACAGGGATCAGTGTCCGTTAATTTCATTAAGGCAAATTCCGGAAGAGCCTCCTGTTTGGGCACTAAATCTGCCCGCAGCTAACTTGGGTCTTTGCTTTAATAGAAATGGAAATTAAAAACTGAAGCACAAATTTATAGATTAAAAAAAAAACCTTTAATTGGAAAGTTAGAGGGGAGTTAGGAAAGAACCTCAGTTAATGTAACTGGCACAAGTACACTCTGATACAGGGATTCAGACTGGCCTTCCCACAGGGCACTCAGCCCAGATTTCAAGGAGTAGCTAGTGGGCCGGGGCATCATCATGATGGCAGTTGCCTCAGTCACTTTTATCAAAAGGAGAACCAGGACTCAAAAGTGACAGCGATTTCCTGCTTTCTTCAGTGCTCTCCAACAAGCCTTGCTAACAGCTTCTAGGTGGAGGTTCACTTTCCCAGTGTGGGTAACAGCTCGAGGAAAGTGGCTCTGGGATCCAGAGCGGCTCCCTCTGCCCCTCCCCAGAGGTCCGCTCTGCTCACTCTCCCCTACCAGCAATCACCAGGTCACCATATTCTTTACTGATCCCGGCAGAGGGACAGGAAGGGTAGGTTTTTCCTTATAGCAAAATAACTCCATTGACAGTACACTTTTTTTACAAAAGCATTTTTCTTCTTTTTAATAGATTAGCTTAGACTTTTGTTGACATGATAAATATTTTGTGGTTAGACTGTTGTAATGTTACACTATGCATTAAAATGTTTTTGATGTTTTCATTATCTTAGCTGTATTATGAAGGCTTGTATTTATGCACAATTCATGATCTTTACAATACAACTTTATGTAATCTTATTAAGAATATGAGGAATAATTAAGAGTATTTCTTCTTCCTTCTTTCCTTTCTTTTATTTTTTTTTAACCCAGTCTCTTTTCTATTCAGTGTTGACTGGTTATATCTTTTTTGCCGTTTAGTTTTAGTATACATTTATTAACAGTTCCAAATATTACAGCGAACACTATAAAGTTGGAAAATACATTTTCCTACCACAACCAAAGAGGTAAATGTTCAGCCCCAGGTACGTAAGATGAAATAGGACACATCCTTAGAATTCAGGGAAGACAAATGCCAGTACTCTCAGAACTAGGAGTCCCATATAAAAACATGGTGTGTAAACTTAAAGAGAGGAATCTGGTCTGCAGTAGAACATGTTAGTCCTAAATGTTATTCCCAGGTAAGGAACCATTCTGGTGGGGCTGGCTCAGGAGAGTGTTCTGAAACTTCAAAAAGCAATTAGACAATTAAAGTCTGTCCCAGACACAGCAAACAACTTGCAGGCAGGTTCCTTCACTTACAGGGAGTCCTAAGTCCTCACTAATACTAAAGGGAACATTCGCTTGGCTTTTGAGAGAATTCCAAATGTTTGTTCACAAACTTGTCAAGGAAATGATATAAAAAAAAATGGATACTCATGGGGCTGGGGATTTAGCTCAGCGGCATAAGCGCCTGCCTTGCAAGCGTTCAGTCATGAGTTCGATCCCTCGTACCGGTAAAAAAAAAAAAGAATATTCATAGAAAAATTTTTCTTTAATTAAAACTATGTGGCATTTTTGATGACTATGGTTAAACAGCACACTGGACTTCTCTGTCATGTCTTTCAGGTACATAGATTTTCATCCTGCAAAAATAGAAAAACAAATAATTGGGTGAGATTTATCTATAGAGGCTCTTTCTTTTTCTAGAATTCAATGATGGGGCAGCTTCAGGAGGCCACTATACTAGCAACGAATAGAAATAGGTTATTGATGAATGAGATGAAGGCAGGAGAAAAGAATCTCAGCCTCTACTGTCACACATGCTTCCTCCAACAGCTACTGTGTATTCTGTCTGACCCTGTGCTGATCCCTTCAGGCCATTTCTGAACAGAGTCCGGCAGAGCTAGCAGGAGCTCAGAACTTCGGCCCCCATCCGGGAAGCCTGTAGTTCCTCCTGCTGCTATAATCTCAGGGGCAGGTGAATCCAGGTAAGTGCTGGACACTGCGGTGGCCTCTGTACCTGGGAGTCATGACCCTATCTGAGCAACCAGCTTTTGACAGGGCTACTTTTACCCACGCGCAGGCCTTCAGAGCCTTAGTATTCTTTAGCTCAGCTCCTCAAAAAGGGATGGAGGCCAGACAGCTTGACTGATCACCAGGAACTTCCATCTGTTATGTATACATTTATTCTCTCAACAAATATTTATTGAGCATCTACTGTATGCCAGGCACTATGCCAGGCACTCACAACACAATTTGAGCTCAACTGATGTAACTTTGACTCTCCACAGAGTTTAGTTTACTCAGTAGAGCTTAGTAAGATAATTTCACAAATATGCAAGTACAATCTGATATAAAGAAAAAAACTCAGGGATCTGCAGGATAATGTAATAGGTGGACACTTGAGGGAAGAGTTTTTTGTTTGCTTGTTCATTTGCTTTTTGTTCTTATATTTTTGTTTTTTGAGAAAGTGTTGGTTTAAGCAAAACAGTGAAAATGAGATGAAGAAATGTCAGAAAAACTTTCCAAGCAGAGCAGATGCAAAGGCACTAACACTGAAGGTAACATGGTTTCACTCCTCACTTCTCTGGTTTTTATCCCATATCCATAGGATGCCCACTAGCCCAGGCACTGTGCTGGGGACTCGAGTCACCATGGCGCACAAGAAGCAGCCCATATCCACCGCTCCAGAAGCTCATGTATAGCTTTTTGCTTGAGCAGGACTCCAGTGCATCTATGGGCAGATTACTTCCCTTCGTGTCCTAACTCAGCATTTCCTCTTCTGCCCCCACCCACTGGCTCGGGCTTGTTGGGGTCTCAGTGGGTCTCGGGTGCAAGCCAATATAACTTTAGACAATATGGGAATGAAACCTCTTCAACGATGCTGCAGGGCCAGGCCTCACCTTTCTTCAGTCTCTTCATTCGTATCTTTCTCCATTCTGGTGGTTTCTGAAAGAGATCAGAGTGACCTCAAAAGCTGTTTTTCTTCTCAGATATGAAAAGGAGAAAGGAGAGTACAGTTTGAAGAGGCTTCTGAGTCCTGGGACTCTGAAACTGCTATGACCTTACACATGGAACAGATGGCTACTTAAACTATGAAATTTGGGGGGTTCATGAAGGGGTTCTTTGCATCCAAAAGCAAAACCCTTCGCTTGCTCTCTGTGCCATAAGACTTAATGTTGGACACAGATTATTTTTTCACTCGCAGCTCTATCTTTGCAAATGGGAATACCAGGGGAAGGAGTAACATATTCGGTTTTAGCAACCAGTGCTTAGAAAAGGGTTTCTAATCCTTTTCTGAAAGCTAGGTTTAGAAGACAAGGCAAGGAAACCTTAAAGACATGCGTACTTAGAAGGATTACCTAGATGATGCTACCAAATACTACACACTGTTACAAGGGCAGGTTCAAGTGGGAACTTCTTGGCCAGCTGGACCTTCCAAAGCCTGATTTTGTATTTGTAAGGATTTGACTGTTGTGTCAGTACTACTGATCCACACAAGCCTTACAGGAGGGGTTATTAACCTGCGACTCCGTGGAGGAATTTAGGCACATGGGGCCTTTCAACATCACCAATGATACTTTTGTGATTCAGTCTTTACCAAATGATGCCTTCACAAAAATCTACTGTCATTAGCATTTTGCTTTTTTTTAATGTGTGTGTGCATATTTGAGAGTAATTGTCTTTGTGCAGATATAATATTAAACAATAAAAGTCAATTTTACTGAATTATAAGAGAAATTTTTAATAATCCCTCCTCAGTTTTTCCTACCTCATGTTAATCAATGTTTTCCCCATCACATTCCCTAGTAATTTTCGAGCTGCTTAATGCCACAATAATTTGCTTTTTCATGAATTTCATATAAATAGGATCAAATCATGTGTAGCTTTGTTGTGCCTGGCTTCTTTCACTTAGTATAACACTTTTGAAATTATCTATGGTGAGTATCACCAGTAGTCCATTGCTACCTACCACTTGGCAGTATTTTATGAATATATCCTTTTGTTAAATGATGAACCATCTTTTAACTAGAAGCAATAATTATGTATGCTGTATATATATCCTTTTTCAGATATATATTTTCTAAACATTTACATTTTTTCCCATTCTGTGCTTGATTTACTGCTGTCTTAATGAAATCAAAAGGACTTCATTTTGGTGAAGTCAAGCTTACCAATTCTGTGTTTTCGTGATGTGGTTTGTCCTTTCTGAGTCCTACCTAGGACTTGTCTTACTAGAGCCATAGATTTTCTCCTATGTTTTCTTTCAGAAGTCATCACATTTTAAGTCATATTCACGTTTATGATCCGCTTTAAGTTACTTTGTCAGCCAGGTGCTTATGCTGCTGAGCTAAATCCCTAGCCCCTTCGCTTTAAGTTACTTTGTATAGACTTGTGGGTATTTAATTCTCCCATCATCAATTAAAAAGAATACCTTTCCTTTCTGCATGAGATTACCTTGGTACATTTGTCAAAAATTAGTACTATGTGACTTTATATTTGACCCTGTTTTACTGCACTGACTGACCGATGTATACTTTCATCAATCTCATTCTGTCCTGATTACTGTAACTATTTAGTAGATCTTTAAATTGGGTAATACAAAACTTTCACTTTGCTCTTATTTTTCAGTATTTTTTGGCAATTACAGGTCCTTGCATTTCCATATACCTTTCAGAGTAAGCTTCTTAATTTCTACTTACAAACTTTCTAGGATTCTGATTAGAATTTGTTATGGGTTAGGTCTAAAATGTCTCCCAAAATTCTTCTCTGTGTGGAAGACGATTGGATCATGAGGGCATTATACTAAATGTGCTGTTGGAAGGCACGCTTGGTCAGGAGAGGAGGGTCACTGAGGACATGATCCGGAAGGGTCTCTCGCCCTCCCTAGCTCTTCCCTTCACTCTCTGCTTCCTGCCCACCATGATGTGGACAGCTTTCCTCTGTTGTGCTGTTTCTCTCTTGGATCTGGCCAACTGTAAACTGAAATCTCAAAAAAATCTCTTTAAATTGTGGGTGTTGGGTATCTTGCCACAGTCATGAGAAAGTAGCCAAGACAGGATTATTTTGATCAATTTGGGAAAAGGCACTATCTTAATAATATTTTGTCTTCTAATTCATGAACATCATATGTTTATGTGTATAAGCTCACATATGTATGCATAGAAGCTCTCTGTGTTCCATATACATATCTGTGTATTTAGATTTTCTTTAACTTGTATTAGTAGTAATATTTTGGAAGTTTTAGTATATAAATCTTGTACTTGCTTCATAAATTTATTCTCAAACTTGTAATATTATTTGCTGCTACTATAAATGGCATTTAAACATATTTTCAGTCCTCAGTGGTTTGTTGTTACCATACAAAAACAGAGCTGTTCTTGATTTGGGGTATCTTTGACTTCGCTGCCTTGTTCATTAGTTCTAACAGCTTTTGGATGGATTTAATGGGCTTTTCTGCAAATGTGATTGTTATCTGCTAAAAATAAAAATTAAAAAGATAGGTTTTTTTCTTCTTTTCCAGTCTGTATGCCTTATTTCTTTTTAATGTCTTCTTCCACTGGCTAGGATCTCCGGTACAATGTTACACAGAGTACTGTGTGTCAACATCTGCATTTTTCCCAATCTTAAGTGGAAAGTCTTTTATCATCAAATATGATGCTATTGAAAGGATCTTGGTAGATTTCTTTTTTTAGACTGAGGAATTCCCCTCGAATCCCTACTTTATGAGAGTTTTTCTTTCCCTTTTAAAATTATGAATGGGTAGTAAATTTTTAGTACCATTGACATGACCATGGTTTTTCTTTCAGTTTCTTAATACAGTGAACTTTATTGCTTAATTTTTAAATGTTCAGCTTTCCAGTTTTCCTTAAAAGTGTACAATATTGAGCATTTCATTTTGCCAACACAAAAGGAGCTAAAACACTTCAGATATTTCTTATTAATGGAGCTCCTGGACACCTTATAAATATGGTTAGATTCTGTTGTCAATGTTCCTCTTAGAAATAATGGTACTTAAAGCTGACTACAGTATTTTAGATGTCTGTAGACCAACAACAAAATAGTGGCATTACCTTTTCATATCTTTAGCAAAATCAGTGCCATTTCCAAGAAAAATAAAGTTTCTATTGAAAAGTGAAAGCAGACAAAAATAATTTTAAAAATTAAAAATGAAAGCAGACAATAAAAGGGCAGATTCTATACTTTGGGATTTGATTACAAATCTAACATTTTGAAGGGCAAATGTGCTAAGTTCACCACTTTCAGTTTTAAAACTCTGTACAGATTCTGTTTAAATGCTGGCTAAAATTGTCTCTTTTGGAAAAGACACTCGGCCTTTCAGAAATCATTACTGAGAAAGTTGATACTTTTCTAAGTTGGTTTAAGCAAGCAAGTTGTGAAAACTGTTTGGTTGCTTGAGCACTGTTATATATAAATTTCTGTCACACAAGTCACAAACCAGTAAAGTGATAAGCTAACTGTTGATTGACTAAAGACAATAATCAATACTTAGAATTTCTCATGCTTTTTCTGTTCTATGCTTTTTTGATACTATGTATTTGACTTAGAGAGAGAGGGAAAACAGAGGAGAGAGGGAGAAAGAGAGAGACAGAGACAGAGAGAGAGACACACACAGAGAGAGAGGGGGGGGGAGGGAGGGAGAGAGAGAGAGAGAGAGAGAGAGAGAGAGAGAGAGATTTGAACCAGGTATAATAACCATGGCATTTCTTTTCTATTCATCTACATGCTTAAACAAGGTAAATATGTATAGTAAGACACAGAAAAACTATAATTAATGAACAAACTATGGAGAGGACTTTTAAGGACAGGTTAGTTAGTTTGAGGGTTGTTTCTTCTGAGAAAAGGATGAATGTCAGATTAGAATGAAGTACCATATCTGGAGACATCCCTACTGGATATCAATTAGCTTGAATGTCTGTAGATGGATCCACATCTGTCTGCTGACACAATACAGTCTCTTGTTTTTGTAGAACTGAGATTAGCATTTCCTTGCTGGCTGGCTATTAGTTAAGAGTCATTTCCAGCCTCTAGAGGTGATCTGTGTTCCTTGACTACAGCTCATTCTCCATGTCCAAAGACAACAACTTCCCTCTCTTCCAGGTCACCACGCTAAACCACTTGAGAAAAGCTCTGCAGCTCATTATTTTTAGATTGGATTTGCCTGGATAATGTATGCTAACTTCACCATCTCAAGGTTGGGGCTTAATCACCTGTACAAAGTGTTTTGCCACATCAGATAATGTATTATAGAATCTAGGGTACAAGAAGTGGAAATTTTAAAGGGTTAACACCTTATTTGTTACATAACCAATGCTAGAATTATCCACAAAGCAAGGAGAAACAATGCTGAAGTCACAGAACTTAGATTTACAAATACTGTTACCTCTCTGGGTTGGTTATATATATGGTATGCATCCCTTCTCCAGGGACATCAAAGCTCCTTGTTTTGACCAAACACACAGGCACACTTGACCGGCACACTGATTATACAATTATTTCTTACCAGTACTCTTTAGCCATACTTGCGGGCATATATATATATATATATATACATATATATATATATATGTATATATCCACATTCTTGTTTTTTCTGCCTTTTACCAGTCATAGCTCAATGTGACCATCTTATATGTGGAAACATAGCTTCTTTAACCCTCTTTTAACTTCTATCTTGCATACACACACATTAGCACCCTTAGGTAATCTCCTAAATTTTTCTGATTGCCTCCTGGGAAAGGAAACATTTTTACTCATTTTTGCTGCATCCTTCCTGTTTGTTTTAATTGCAAGCTGATCATTCCAATGTGAAAGCAAATTGAGGAAGTAGCTTATTCCTAAGCCAAAAGTTATTTCTGCATAAAATTGGTTAATTTTAAATGGCAATAGCACTGAAAGAGAAGTTTCAAACTCTCCTCTTGAAGAGTCATTTTTGATGAGTCAAAAAATGTTTCACTCACATCAGGGCATGCCAAATACACATCTGTACACCTGACCCTGTGCTCTGAATGTTACACTTCTTTCAATAGATGGCTCAGGACATTCCATATTTTGGCAGTTTTAATGGCTCTGTCATATGTTTTGTATTACTTTATTAAAATTTGATAATTATTCCCCCAATTTCCACTTTTTAAAATATAATAGGATGAAATAAATGAATGTAATGTCATCCATCTATTTTCTAAACAGATCTCAAAATCAGTACACTGAAATTTTAGATGCCAGCCAGAAGCATTATTCATCTTGTGTTTTCTACAATGAATAAGGTTACTGTAACTATTAGCGCCAACCAAGCTAATTACTATTGGGGGAAATTGCTGAGATAAAGTAAAATATTATCACAGAACCTTGTCCAAGCCAGTCCAAACCACACATAGACACAGAAGTCTTATAAGCTCAGGGACCAATTTGGCCTCATCAAAATACCTTCACAGTAGAAATGGATTGTTAAATGCAGTGATATTCACAACAACAAAACTTTTAGAAAAACCAAAATATTCAAAAAATAAGGTTGGTTAAGTAAATAAAGTATATCTGCATAATGGAATATCTTGCAGTCCTTTAAAATGATGCTGTAGAAAATATTTATGCCATTAAAAGTTGTCTTGATATTTTTAGTATGATAAAGTTAGAAAACATGTCATATGATATTACATAGCTTGTAAAAATAGCCGTTATGTTATCTCAATTACATACATTACTAAATTTTTATTGGTATGCACTGTCAATGTTTGAGTGTTTATCCACTTCTTATGCTTTGATTTTGTAATTTGAACAACTGTTTCTATGATGACAATATGTAATGTGTCAACTAGCGATTTCTTAGTGTTAATTTTTTTGAATTCTGTATTATTTTATCCTTTTTTCTTTCTTTAAATGAGTAAATTTTAAAAACTATATACAATTATATAAACTTGTAGACAGAAAAAACCTGGAAGACACACACCAAAAATACTGCTTTCAAAATTATATTTTTCTTACCAGTGGGACTATGATTGACTTTAATTTTTGGTATATTTGTTAGTAGAAATGCCCTGCTTCATAATCAGTAGAAGTTAACAGTATTGCTCCTAAATCAATGAAGAACAATTTATCTAACTCATTTTACAGGAAATCTAGACCTTTAGAGATGAAAATTTCATCTCGTGGTTACCTAGCAAACACTGCTGCTGGAACATCTCCAGGTCCATAATCTCTAACATTTAGAAATATTCCCAGCATTTTACTTTCTAGAATCATCACAATAACTTGATGAAAGGAGATAGGTAGAAAAAGTGGTAGTCAGTTTTGGCTAGAAACCAGAAGTATATTTGTGGAGCTTTATTCTGAAAATGGAACCTTTCTTAAGAATCCAAAGCAACATTATCAGCTGCTGAGTCCAATGCAACCTCCAAACCCTGAAGAAAAACCTAGTGTGGGCTCAGCCAATGAGCTCCAGAAGGCAGTTGATTCAGAGGAAGTGACTTCAACGTGGCAGTCTGTAGAGAGGAAAACGACTCACTCATCACCTTTGTTAGAGACAACAATCCGTTGTTTCTTCTTCCTCTTCCATAGACAGCATGCCATCCCACATAAGATCAGGAATATTAGAATTACAGCTATAATCCAGGAGGGTTGGTGTGCAATAGGTGAAGGTTGACGAGGCACTGGAAATGACAAATTTTCAATTAACCATACATTCACTTACAAAAGTTTCATATTTGCTGCTTTTCTCATTATTTACTCGCCAGATTTTGCTTCAAAGGACCCTATGAAATCCACATAGGAGACCACAGGAAGTCCAGTCTCAGGGCCTCAGCAGAAACTAGGACTCAAGCCATACTTTGACCAAATGCCTAAAATGGTTGCCTTCCCTTCCCCATGGTGGGTGGTGGTGGGGGGTGGGTGGGGATGATACTGATCTGGATCTAGAAGGAGAGCCATGATGGCCATGATGCTAGAACCCAGGTAAGGTATTTAAGCAAAGGATCTGAATGTACAATCATGCAGACAATACCTTTCTTCCCCAGCCCATGCACAGTCAGTTCCCAAACCCTGAAGATTCCCTTGTAATGGTCTCTCCATCCACCAACATCTATAAATAAGGCTTGCTCACTTAGACAAATGGTACAGCCTCCTCACAGCCTGGCATCTTCAGATTGGCTTTGTCTGGTCTTATTTTCTAGTGAGGCCATAGCAGGCTTCCTCAGCGTGGCTTTCTGCATGTGCCACTACAAGAAATCTTTGCTATTTTCTCACACCCTGAGGAATCAGTGTCAGAAGTAGCTGCCTAGAGGTCAGGAGCTATGTCCTTGCATGGGAACTCCCAAATTCCTGGGAAGTTCAAAATAGATTTTGTAATGGAAAATTGAGTTGATTACATTATAGACATTTTGGGGTACTTCTGATAGTCAATCTCAAATTAGAGGAACAAATAGGATCAAGTTGATCTCCTTTAGTTTATTACATTCGTAGCTATATTTCCTGTTCCAGGGACAGTGAAGAAAGGAGCGATTGGTGTTGTGTACATATTCAATACCTTTCGAATATGCCCTAGTTCATCCTACTTGAGAATATTTGGCATTCCCGGTAAAGGAAGGTTATACTTGCAATATGGCAACTACTATTTTTTGATACTTGCAAAGATTCTAGTTTGGCTGAAGGTCTAACCTATCTCTGTTCATGCCATGGAGTGGCAAGGCCTATCTTCCCAGAAGCAGCTAGAGCTGAAATATTTCTGTAGATAGTGCTACTGGGGAGGCTTTGACAGCATTTGAAAAGCAGCAGAACAGTGAGCCTCAATAAAGCTACAGTGGTGGTGACCATAGGAGTCCTGCAGACTGCCCAGAGGATATTGGGTATGTTGATGCTAGTGGTTAAATGAAAGTGCTAACCTTGGAGAGAATGTGAGAGACAGCAGAAGCAGCAATCAGGACAGGATAGGTAGTCCCACTCTTTACTGGACTCTTAGAAACCGAAATAAGCAACAAGAAGTCAGTGCCAGGAGAGGGTGTGGACCCAGTTGCATAGCTGGCTTATGTGGGTAAGCCGTTGGGTCGCTTACTGAGAGTGCATCTGTCGGCCAAATTATGTCCAAGACATGCCAGGAGCAAGAAGACAGCAAAGACAGAAAACAGAATAATGCCCCTGGAGCAGACAAACCAAGGGCTGGAGAAAGAGCTTAGCTGAGCAGAGGGCAGCTGAGTTGGGGGAGGAGGCTGGGCTCAGAAAAGCAGGGATGGAGGCAGTGTTGCTGTAGAGTATCGAGGAGAGCAGCTCTGGTTACTCCTCTAAGTGTCTTACATACAGATGAGACAAAGCTAAGATTTGGAATGTTGGGCTCCTGATATTCCGGGTGAGCACTGCTTAGTCTCAGCCTTTTCCTCAAACTTCGGGAGGGATCACTTCTGCCTCTGAGCCTTTCTTTGTTCCACCTCCTCTTAGGTCATTATACAGCTGATTGATGGAGTCATCTTGCCTGTTGACCCCTAAAGCTCAGAATTGTTTTGTGCAATAGGTCTGCAAACTTCAAAGTCTGTCACCTGGAATTCTCTCCCTTCTTATTAAGTCCAATAATCTCTTTTATGGTATAAGGTTCAGTTGGCTTTAGGAAGCCCTCACTGACCCTCAGAGATCTGGCCTACCTCTGATGCCCACAGAAATGATCAATTTCTATCCATTTATTTTAAATTTAGTCACATATTCCCACAAAATATAATTTAGATTCTAATTCAGTCTTTTTTAAAATTAAGTTTTCCATGTGTGTACATCATGAAGTTCTGATTCTACTGGAAGATCTTCAAGAACAGAGGATGTCTTATATCTTTTAGCTTCTACTCTTATAATCAGCAATATCTGGAATGCTTCTGTGCCCCTAATGAATACTACATGAATACACACATGTATGCATGGTGTGTGTCTGTTTTAAATCAATGGAAGTATTCTAGACAGAAGGATTCTTGTATTTGCTCACCAAAACTCCAGAATCTTCCACTCAAAAGTATCCCTAAGAGACTGGGTCAGTTCAGAACACGTTTTTTAAGGGTAGCATAGGTTCACAGACTCCTAGATCCTAGATCACTCAGATATAGCAGGAGCCCTCCATGTGGGTTTTTTCAACTAATGTCATAAAATAGCCTTGTAGAAGATTTCCTAGCAAGCAGGTGACACTGGACAATTTTTCTTTAGTACCTGACAAAAGAAACAGTGTTAGGAAGCAGCCTTACCTCTACAGAAAGGTTTGGAGCAAATCTCTATTTCTCTTGACTTCATTGACTTAGCTTTCAGGACACAGAAGATAGTCACATTACTCACACCATCAGGCAGTGGAACATAGGAGCTGATGGAAACATTATACAGCTCTGTACCATTATCTTGTGATGTCTGCATGACTCCTTCATACTCCAGTTCAGTTGAATTTTCAAGTTTTAGCAAAAAGTACATCTTCATAGCTTTTGGATAACCTTGTCCAGATGAGCAGGTTAAATTTATGCCAGAATTTTCTGTTACGTTAGACATTTGCACTATTTCAGGTTCAGTGAAGTTAGCTGGACACAGAACAGAGATACAAAAATCAGACTATATTTAGTTGTATTTACAAGAGAATGGTAAATAAATACTCAACCTAGGAGCTCACTGGGAATCCATGATTATCTAAAACATGGGCTCCAGCGAATGGTGTGTGTCACATAATAATGTTATATTTATTTTTCAAGGCTTCCTGTGCACATTGGGTGACAGACAGGGAGGCTGAAATTAGCTTGCCAAAGATTTACAATTAAACCACTATTCCAGAGAGTGGAAACTTTGGAAGGAGAGTTGATCTGATCTGACTATATACCCAAGTTCACCAAAATCTACCAGACTGGGGACCGGGGCGGGGTGGGGCGGGGGGGTGGGGTGAGAAAGAGCACAGAGAGAGAGAGAGAGCGCACAGAGAGAAAACACTAAAGTCCTGCCAGGATTCAAAAGAGTTCATGGAACCAGTTCAAACACCCAAGCAACATGGAAGTGAGTCGAGGTGGGCTGGATTTAGAAATTCAGAATTTTGGGTTTTGGCACAACTGTCAAGGTGTCTGTATCACATATTAGAAGACGGAGGCCAAATCTAGCCATTTTTAGGGAAGTACATGATAAGCTCAGTGCTTCTCTTGCTTTTGATGGCTAATCATGTTTTAGTGGCTGTTGAAAGTGACTGGCACATAGGCCCCAGACCTGACATGTGGGCCTTCTGCCAGCCAAACCCTTTGCTCCTCTGTAGTTACGAGGCAGCTGGCAGGCTCCACACACTAATTTATAATTTAGTGTTGTTTCCAAGCTGCAGTCATTTGTGTCTGTTTTCCCAGTGTTGCTGCATCACCATGCTATTTGAACACTCTGCTTGTGCTTTATGCGATCTGTAAAAGGTAGATTCCCAGAGCTTAGTTATAGCCTTAGTAGCAGTATCTTTAAAATCACAGATTGAATAAGTCATAGTTCTTCTAATACTTGCTAATATACATATTGAGATGAGCAGCTTTCCACTGTATATTTAATTCTCTCTCTGCTTTACTCTGTGATTTCAGAATAGGTGTTGACTTGCCTTTTTCAGTTTCATTAAGAATTAATATGGATCTAGTAATACTTTGTCTGGGTATCTATCCTAGAGAAATACCATTTTAAACACAAAAACCTGTATATGAGTGTTATGGCAGCTTTCTTCACAACAGCCCCAAACTGGAAACTGCCTGATCTCTTTCAGCCAGTTGAATTGATAAGCAGCAGAATACAATCAGGAATAAAAAGGAACATATTTTGATATCCTATAAACAGTGGTGGTTATATAAACACATATATGTTACATAAGTATCTTTATGTAACCACCACTATTAATATATATTTACATTAATAAATATTTATATATAATATATAAGTATATAATATATAAGTATATATTATATATTAATATATCTACACAGTTAATAAAAGGATGTAATAAATCAAAAAGTTAATTATACTATATGGTGATAAGAAAAAAATCTGCAGTAACATTCAGGCTTTTGAAGGTCCAGTAGAACAGAAGAGCTAGTTTTTCAGTTTATGGATTTTCTTTGCTGCATTATTTCCCTTCTGTCTACTGGCTTATGATTAGGGCAGCAACGATTCATAAGCAATCTATAGACGATTAAAAGTAAAACCCAAACCAGTTAGATTTCCCCCTTGCTAGGAGCTCCGGGGCATGATTTAGTGGGTAAGAAATCTTGGACTGAAGGAGAAAAATGAATGCAAAACTTTGAGGTATTGTTATGATTATAAAATTTAGCAATGGGCAAATTAATTTATCCACATTACTTTCATTAACTCTATTTTGTATCCCCCAAAAATTCTTACTGATCTGTCAAAAGTAAACTATAAAAAGTGTAAAGCTCTTCCGTTTCCTATTCCCAGGCCTTGCACTCCCTTCAAATGGATTTCTAAGACATGAGTGTCTTCTGCCACCTCGCAGTAGTACCCTTTCCCCCAGACCCTTAGAGCTCCCACCCCTGAAATTTTTCTACTCAGTTTTGGACCCATCAGAGAAGTTCAAAGATCTGGACACATCATGGGCCACATACCAAACAGCGATAGCTCAGTATCCTTCTGGTGGTGGGGAACCAGTCCTGTGGGGCTTTTGTGGTGGATGATACACTGATAGACGCCCTTGTCCTTGATCTGAGCTCTGTGAAGCCGCAGAGTCCAACTGTTCTGATCAAAACTTGTGCGTTGCATATACTTGGGATCCACGTTATTTAAGTTTTCTTTCCCTAAATAAAATTCATACAGGACTAACTTTTTCTGGTCCTGCCAAAATATAACCAGCTCATTCAGGCTGAGGTTTTGAGAATTTAAAAACTGGCATGGCAGTTCTGCAGTCTCATTGAAATAAGCTTCACTCTTCAAGAAGGCAGCACCTAAAGAAAGAAAGGTAAAGGTTAGGGAGGGAAAAAAAGAGGAGAGAAAAAAATCCATTCTATTTAGCTTTATCCACTATCCAGATGTGCAGTCTTATCAATCATGACACTAAAGAACTAGACTACTGTGATATTGTACTATGGCATTCACCTGGACATTTATAGATTAGGATTTTTCTTCTTGTTTCTCTATTAACTGCGTATGTGGCATTGTGCAAATAGCAACTTTTATATGTCTTATTTTTCTCATCTGTTTAAAGAGTCTTTGTAGTGCTATGATTCTGTGAACTTAAATCCCAGGACAGAGAAACCCAGCAAAGTTAGGCAATTCCCTTACTTACCTGTCACTTTCCTACAACGTGAGGATTGGTGTTCACTGCTTTGGCTGTTACAGGATCCACAACTGCTACATTCTCCCCCAGAGTTCTCCCTGTTCTACCTGACATGTTGGTATGCTCTGGCAAAAAGATTGTTCATAGTGGTGATAAGTTTGCTATCTCCTCCCCTTTTATTATGCTTCACTAGTGTGGGGGGTCACACTGAGTAACGTGTGTGAAATTCAAGCAGTTCCTTTCATAGACTTTCCTGCACACCTCCTGTTTCCATGGGCAAGGACAGAAAGAACAGTTCCGGAATGGCTCAGTGAAGGCTTCTTTCCTCTCTAAGCTCTCTCAGGGATGAAAGAGAACTGGGAAGGTGAGGATGTGCTTTGGGAGTCCCGGGGAAACCCCATGCCACACAGAGTTGCCAGAATGCCAGCATGCTGCCAGAATGTACTGCCCCTGGAAATGTACAACCCACAAGGAAAATGACAGGAGAGTTCAGAGGAAGGCTTTGGTCCTAGAAAGGAAACTGGCATTTGTGGGAGGGACTTGAGCAACCGTACTTCTTGAGTGTGATAGATCTCATTCAAGGATTTAGGAGGGTCTTTTCTGGATCACAGAAATACTTGGAAAAAAAAAAAGAGGTAGTGGGGGGTGAGCAGTGCAGGGTGGGAAAAATACTGTTTCTTAGTATGAAATTAGACACTGCCTTAGGCAGAAATTCAGAGTCAATTCTGAATAATGAGTCATTATTCAAGATTTCAGTGAAGGGATGCAGATGTTAAAAGGGCTAAAGGGAAAGGTACGTTTACAAGAGACATGAGAAGAGTTTCATTTCATATGGTTTTAGTTTAAGAAGAAATTCAATTGATCTAAACAATGGTTTTCTCTTCAAATGGGGAATAGACAGAAAAAAATGACATGCCCGTGGCAAAAGAACATGTGCAGACTTCCCAGGGAGCACAGGAAACCAAGAGCTCTGCAGTGATGCTCCAGCCATCACCGAGAGGGACCAGGAGCTTGAACGATGGGCTACTGCACTGCGGTCACTTAGAAGTCCGCAAAGCATGTCAGGTTAGGATGTATGTCATGCTGGGAGAGGAAGCTGAGTACCTACAACAATGACTCGAGGGCCTAAGGAATCCTTGATTCATTTGGCAATTGCCTTATAAGACAAATCTGGGCCTCCTGCTACATTGCTTAATAATCATACAAGAGTGCCACCTACTGTGCAAACTCAGAGCACTGGGTCTCAGAAGATCCATTCTGATTTAGGTCCAATTTGCTACATGACATAAGGGTGGATGCCCTAACAGAGAAAGTGAACACAGAGCTGAATGTCCTTCCAACTATTTGTCGATGTTACATTATTGCTCAGCTATCAATTGTGCCTTCTGGACCTGCAGATGATTTCATCGTTAGTTTTTTTTCTATCTTCTTGATTTTTCTTTGCAGAGCCTCACAGTATCTTGTTTCCTTCCCACTCTCTCTGTCCACTCATAAACAAGTCCAAATTCTCTGAGCCAAGCTCTTTCTCTCAAAAATTACAAGGACTTTTTCTTCCAACCATCTAACTGTTCTCCTCTTCAACTATCAACCAAAACATTATTTGTGAGCCAAGGCCATTGGCATCATCTATGGTATGGACTGGCCTCATCCAAGACCACCTGAGTGCAAATCTACATTTTAGCAAGAGTTCCAGTTTGAGAAGCTGCTATAGACGACTTCTGTTTCTCTTTCTAGATAGGACAAATATATTTCCATCCACTTCTCCCCAGACTCCTTTTCATTCCCATGAGGTGAACTACTCAGTAACTCATATGAGTGGAACTGAAAGTATTTCACAACTTACACTGTGCCTTTCCTCACCAGGCACTGGTTTTCATGATATCACCCAGAGCTAGGCATGGGGCACTATGCTAATCTCCACTTAACCACATGGGGAAGATTTGACTCAGTCTGTTTTTCCCAAGTGACTTCAGTCCTCCACTGCTATAATCCCCAGAGTTTAGATTCCCTCCCCACTGAATTCACCAGGACTCCACTGGTGAAAAATACTGAGAATCTCTCCCTTCCCCAGCACTTCAGCGGGAGAAATGATAACCAGACCAAATGGTGTTATCAGAAGATAGGCTTTCTAGATTCAGCTGGACATCTCCTTAATCAGGAGTTTGTTTCCAAGAATACTTAAGGACCTTTTCTGTAATATACTGTTTGAATGCCACATCCAATCCATGGTCTGCTGACCTTGACAGTCCATTATTACTGACCCATTAGGACTTCAGTCTTCCCTTATCATTACCTCAAATGACATTATTATTACTTCCTCGTGGTATTGTGCTTACTTATACTCATCAATTTTTCTTCTTTTACTAAATTTCCTCAAAGCTTTATGCGGCCCTCTGAAAGCCTCATTCCACTGTGATAAACTCTCTATCTTCCTCATCTTCAGTAGATTTTTCCCTAATGTTGTTCTTTCTTTAAAATCTGCTCCTACCCAAAGGAAACCTCCAGGCTTGCAGCCACTCCTTGCATTATCTGCTTCACAGGGACCTTGAGCAATGCCTTCCCCATTTGGAAGTGTCTTCCCCTTTCTTGTTGTTAGCCACTAATCATCAGTCACTGTCACCTTGCTCAATGAGCATTCTGGCATTACAAGCGGAGTCTTTCTTTCTAATCAACTTTTATCATAAATTTGATGAGTTCACCACAGATGAGTCATTCCCAAATATTTTCACCCTCAGACTATTCCAGCAGCCCCCCTTCCATGATGTAACCCCAAATCTTACCACCTCGAGCTGTTCAAGCCCTAGAATCTCTTCTCTGCTCACAACCTCCTCTTCCCCCAGGTTTTGCTCACTTTCTCACTCTATATTTGTTCTTCAGCTTCCCCAAGACCTCAGCTTCATCTAATCTAGACCCTCTGCTGGAATGTTTTCCAAAAGAACTCTCTGAGGTGACAGAAGTGTCTTTCTCTGGGATGAACAATGTGGTAGCATCTAGCAACCCGCCCTTGTAAGCTACTGAGAGTATGTGTGGGCAGAGAGCTGGAGAAAAAACTGATTTTTAAAATCTTAATTGAAGTGTCAAAATTCATACATGGTAGCAGCTATCAAAAACAACAGAACAGTAAAATGGACTTTTAATCATTGCTCGTCAACCGCCTCAATAAATGTAAGCCTTTTCTCTATAGAACTCCTTGTGAGGACACTCTGCTTTCACTCTACATATCCTTCCTTACAGCGGGTGCAGTGCACACTCCTGCAGGAAATAACACTATGGTTTAGACTGCTGACATTTTAAATCCAGTCTCACTTAAATTGGCTGCCAGACTCACTGTCCTGCTTCAAATACTTCCCCTCGGCTCCTGCTTTTAGTTTCTTTTTCTCTGACAGTCAAACTCCCTGAGTGAGTAGAAACAGCTCACTTCACTCCCTGCCTCTCATCTCCACCTCTCTACTAAAACTGCCCTGACGAGGGTTGCTGGTAGCTTCCCGCCGAGGCCAGCGACCCCATCTCATCTGACCACTCGGCTGGATGTTACACTGTTGGCAATTCTCCTTGAAACACTCTAGTCTTACCCAATCTCTGACTTCCTGGCTCAAGTGCTTGTTGGACTTCTCATTCGCCATCCTCTCCCTGGATTTTCTGTCTCTGCCCATGGGTATATTGCCAAGGATAAGCAATAATTCTCCAGCCTACAACTTTCGTACAGTTCCAGACACTCATACCCGGCAGTCTGTTGACTGCCTAGAGAGCAACAGAGCTTGCCTCCCTCTCTTCCAAACCGCCCTCTGACTCAGTGAACAGTTCTCACCTGCTGCTGTCCTCAGTCATTCGAATTGTCTATAGAAAATACCAGAAAGAGTCTGTACAGGTTTGGTGGAAGAAATATGGGAGCCAGAGGTGACACGGAATATGCTGAGGGAAGAGGGAAGGCTCAGTATGAAGCAAAGAGAAGGAACGACTAGAGAAAAGAAAAAATTATGTGTTTATCTGGAGAACTTAGGAACTTTATTCTGTAGGTTAGTAATGAGAAACTCTTACAGAGCAGGGATGGTCGCCTAGGAATTTTGAGGTCCTAGATGCTATTTATATTAAAACTAGCTTTGTTTGAATTTCATGCTTACATTGCATACCATTACATAGATAAATACATTATATATGTGATTATGTAGTCATTCTAGGTATTTTATAAAAATATATAACAATGCAGTATTATATGAAATATTATCTATTCTACTTAATATATGAAGCAGAACATAATGTGTAAAACACATTACTACATGTTTAAAGTCCAAAGCTTGTCGGAGGCACATGCCGTCCACGTCTTCAGGACACACACCCACTGCCCCTCCCTCTGTTATCCATCTTGCTCCCAGATGCCCCCAACCCACTGAAGGTCTGAGCATCTCACCTGCTGCTATCAGTTGCTTCGTAACTGAATTCTCTGCGTCCATATTTGCACGCAAAGATGGCCCTTTGGAAAGCTAACTCTGATTATACAATTCTTTGTTCAAAAGCCTCTGATGACATCCCATCACATTAAAAATTATATCGCAATTACCCCCCAACATACCAAGAACCATATTCAATATCCAAACTGGTCCCTGGTGCTTTGCAGACCGGTTTCCCCTATCCCAGCCACAATGGCTTCCCTGCCAGTCCTCCAAAAGG